CTTCTTCTTCTTTTCATTCTTCTTCTTCTTCTTTTCATTCTTCTTCTTCTTCTTTTCATTCTTCTTTTCATTCTTCTTCTTCTTCTTTTCATTCTTCTTCTTCTTTTTTCATTCTTCTTTTCATTCCTCTTCTTCTTCTTCTTTTCATTCTTCTTCTTCTTCTTTTCATTCTTCTTCTTCTTTTCATTCTTCTTCTTCTTCTTTTCATTCTTCTTTTCATTCTTCTTCTTCTTTTCATTCTTCTTCTTCTTCTTTTCATTCTTCTTTTCATTCATTTCTTCTTCTTCTTTTCATTCTTCTTCTTCTTCTTTTCATTCTTCTTTTCATTCTTCTCATTCTTCTTTTCATTCTTCTTTTCATTCTTCTTTTCATTCTTCTTCTCATTCTTCTTTTAATTCTTCTTCTTCTTCTTTTCATTCTTCTTCTTCTTCTTTTCATTCTTCTTTTCATTCTTCTTCTTCTTCTTCGTCCCCCCCCCCCCCCCACCCCCCCCCCCCCCCCCCCCCCCCACCCCCCCCTGCCCCGTGACTGCCCAAATGAGTGAAGTGTGCGGTGATTCTAAGATCGACGGCACTCATCTGCATGTCATACTGACTGACAGTATTATTTCTCTTCCCCAGCAGACTCCAAGGGCATTTAAATTAAAGGTACAGTGTTCTGCACTAATATAAAGGCTCTCTGAAGCCTAGAAACCCTTTTAATAAGTTAAATTCGCGGCGAATAAATTCGCATCGAATCGAATTTCTCTCGCAAATTCGGCGAATCAGCCGAATTGAATTTTTGAATAATTCGCTCATCTCTGATTATGAACCATCTGCCCACTCCCTCTCTTTAGTGAAACTTTGTGCACTTTTTGCATCTATAACCTTGTTCTCCTTCTCTGAAGTCACTTAGGTCTGTTTATGCCAATAGTATGGTAGGTATTTGATATTTTATCATATGTGTTATATGTGCTTGTTGATAATCCCTTTAGCCTTTTGGGATATTCTGCACAGTTGTGCCTTGCACTCAGTGTCTTGCACCAGCCAGTTCCTTATTCAGGTTCTGGTGCTCATGCATAGCCAATGATCCTGTACTTTGGATACAGCTTCCCTGAGCAGCCAGGCCTGCATTCCTCACTAGGGCATGGTCTAGGAAGCCATGGCTGCCACTAGTGGTACACCTCCATTCTACCTACCCATGTAACTTTGAATTTATGCTGACTTCCGCTGCTTGTAGAACCTGTCATGCAAACCTCCACCTTTCCTTCTGCACACTTGTGTTTACATATACATAACAGCTGTCCACTCTGATCCTCTCCCTTTCTCTAGCATCTCCTTCTCCCACAACCCTTCCCTTCTCGCAGGAGTTGGGTAATTCACAGCTGTGACATTGTGTCTCTGTGGAAATTTTTCTGGTTATGGTAGTATGGCAGAAAAGTATTGATGATGTCTCTGTAACACTACCCCCTTAGGGATTGTTGATGAATTTGGGGCCCCCTATAGTCCCGCACAGCCAGTCATTACACTTCCACACAAGCTCTTATCCATAGACGGAAATAAGTCCTTCAGCTTTTGTTTTGTTGAGGGGATTAGAACTTAGATAGGGTAAGGGCGTATAGGATGCACAAAGGAACTGAAATCTGAGGACAATTTCCTGAACTATTCACAGCTTCTTTTCTCTGATGCAGTCTCTGTTGGAGTGCTAGCCAGCAGCTTCTAGTTGTACCACCCCAGACCCTAGATGAACTCCTCTTCACCCAGCAATCTGGAGACTTTCTTCCTGAGCAGGGGATCTGGCTCCAGTTCCTTTAAATAGGGTGCACTGTCACTAGAGGGTTAATCTGGTTTCCCACCAGAGTGCTCCTTCCCCTATCCACCTAGGGGGTGCAGATGTACTCACTCAGATCGTCTTCTGTACCGCTTGTGGGATAGCTGCTGCTACAGGCCTATCATCTTCCTGCTCTTCTCTACACCTCTCTTTCCTTACTCCTGCTACTGAGCAGGCTCCAGCACTTTAAGAGAGTCCTAACCCCTTGCCAGGCCTTCTATTGGGGATTGGCTGAGGTCCCTCAGGAGTGCAGCCAAACACTCCTCAGATCCACCAACTGCCTCCAAGACCATCCTCCGAAAGTCTCAGAGCAGGGGGAAATTCCAGAGAGGCTGGACTGCAAAGCCTCTCAGTCCTAAACACAGTTTGACCCCTCTTGCTATCACACCTGAGCTGCTAACCAGCTCCTGACTAACCATTAGGGTCTAGCTCCCCCTAGCTGCACTAGACAGGTGCTACATCTCTGTATATAAAACATTTTTGGTTGTTTCTCCATTGCACTCGAATGCTGAAAAAACAGAAAGGGAAAGAGAGAGTGGGCGCAAACATCTTCATAATGTAGTATCAACTTTACTATTATTTAAAGCAAAGTTTGGTAATGCACTCACAAGAGGCAGAAATGGCAGGTGACCTATGCAGCAGGTAAAGTCTCTAGCACAATCAGTGAAGGGAGAGCTTGACAGCCCCGCTGGGTTGAGCAGGTATCAGTGAACAGGAGGACGCCCTCTTATGGCTGCTGCTGGAATCCCTGCTCAGGTCTTATCCTGCAATGGACTGGTGCAAAGGAATGGCAGAAAGTAAAGAAGCCCAGAGAGCAAAATTAGTGACATGGGGGAGTGGAACAGTAGACTCCTTACAGTGGATCCAACTGTCGTGAACGTGCGCACCAGAGGCAGGACGCAGCCTCCATTTTGTTAAGAATCTCCATTTTCTCCCCTCACTCCCTCCCCCTCCCTCTCTGAGAGGCACAGGGACATTTGGCCAGTGTGTGTGTGCTGGTTGTGTGTTACTGGCAGGCTAGAGCACAGCAGGGAACCCCAGAGTTATAAAACATTTTTTAGCTAGGTGCCTGGCTGTCTGGGCGAGCTGTACCATATAACACCTCGTATAAGATAAGGCAAGCTTTCCCAGGAGTTCAAGGCATTCCAGAGAAGCACGAACCAGATAACCACTTTTCAAAATCCATTTTTCCCCTATGTCTCATATCTTGGAATATGAGAGACTTACATAAAAACCAGAGACATATCGTCAGATTGGCTAAGAGGAGACGAACAATTTGGTGGGTCACTCTCCTTGTCTCGAATACATAGGAAAGCAGAAAAGTAGATCTCGGGAACCATTCAGTGTATAATTTCATAATTCATATCTAATCAATCCTCAGACATGTCTGCATAATAATCTACCCGCAGGTGGAATGTCACTTATGCATATGGAAAAATTTGAGCCAAAATATGAGTATGAGAGGTTTTGGCTCTAGTTGAGGTATCCACCCAGACCACCCCTCCCTAAATGAGGCATTGGTCCTTGGCTTTAGAGACACCCCCTGCTGTGGGACTACAAAATGGGCTGTCAGGCCTAAGAGAGCTAAGTTGAAGAATTCTCCCTTTTAACATCAATACCACCTGGGGAGACCCGTACCCTTTTGCTCTAAAACTTGATCTGCTAACCCAGGACTTTTGCAAGTACCTTAACCCTTTAACCTCTCTCTGTTATCTCTTTGCTGTGCTGTTGTTCTCTGTATATTTATATATATATTGGTTACATCTTTGTTCTGTAAATATTTTTATTGTACCCCTTTTTGACTTTTCAGTAATAAATCTTTCCTTCTGAAAGTGTTTTGAACTTTTTCTATAGCTCTTAATTGCAATTTATGAATTCCTGCCTCTAAAGAGAGCGCTACTGTGTTTGTTAACCCTCTGTATAACCAGCCTGCGGTGACCGTGTTATCCAGACGATTACCTCAACCATTATAGTGTTATTGCGGATATCGCTGAGTTTCCTCTTTCTCTGTACAAAAAGGAGGTGGTGGCAGTGTGAAGGGTTAATTGCGTAATTAACCTGACCCAGTAACAATCGCTCAGGCTGCCGTTACATCTATTGTGGTCCAATTAGCTGGAAAATCGTTGTGCAGGGTGCAGCTGGGTGTGGCATTGTTACGCACGTGACATCACGGTTTTAGTTTGGCTAGTCCTTCAGTCACGAGTGGTGGAAAGGGCTGGGGTCTGACACCGCGTCCGTCACATATTGGTGACAGCGATCGTGGGATTGTCGCATATTGGTGGCAGCGATCCCCTGTCTGTCACACTAACAACTATAAAAGCTTTGCCTAAAGTACCATAAAATGCAAAATTAAAATTGAAATTTAATAAAAATTCTCAAGTGTTTTAAATGTTCCAATCACTTCCATGGCCACAGGTGTTTAAAACCAAGCACCTAGACATGCAGACTGCTTCTACAAACATTTGTGAAAGAATGGGTTGCTCTCAGGAGCTCAGTGAATTCAAGCTGGGTACCGTGATAGGTTGCCTCCTGTGCAATAAGTCCATCCGTGAAATTTCCTTACTACTAAATATCCCACGGCCAACTGTTAGTGGTATTATAACAAAGTGGAAGCAACTGGGAACATCAGCAATTCAGCCACCAAGTGATAGGCCACGTAAAATGACAGAGCAAGGGTCAGCGCATATATATACTATTAATATATAAATTTGAAATATGATGACATAACAAGTAAATTTTATATAGTTAATAGATTAATAAATTTGTGAATTAATAGGTGGATTGAAGGAAAATAAATAGCCAGCAATAAGTGATGAATATTTACCATGACATAATAAAAATGAATTATAAATAAAAATTCATATGACAATTACCGTATTTTTCGCTCCATAAGACGCACCTGACCATAAGACGCACCTAGGTTTTAGAGGAGAAAAATAAGAAAAAAAATATTTTGAACCAATGGACTGCAGACACAGTACAGGGTATGACCAGAGACTGCGGACACAGTACAGGGGGTGACCAGAGACTGCGGACATAGTACAGGAGATGACCAGAGACTGGGGACATAGTACAGGGGATGACCAGAGACTGCGGACACAGTATAGGGGATGACCAGAGACTGCGGACATAGTACAGGATATGACCAGAGACTGCGGACACAGTACAGGGGACATAGTACAGGACCAGAGACTGCGGACACAGTACAGGGGATGACCAGAGACTGCAGACACAGTACAGGAGATGACCAGAGACTGCGGACACAGTACAGGGGATGACCAGAGACTGCGGACACAGTACAGGAGATGACCAGAGACTTCGGACATAGGACAGGGGACGACCAGAGAATGCGGACATAGTATAGGGGATGACCAGAGACTGCGGACATAGTACAGGAGATGACCAGAGACTGCGGACACAGTACAGGAGATGGCCAGAGACTGCAGACATAGTACAGGAATGACCAGAGACTGCGGACACAGTACAGGAGATGACCAGAGACTGCGGACACAGTACAGGAGATGGCCAGAGACTGCGGACACAGTACAGGAGATGGCCAGAGACTGCGAACACAGTACAGGGAATGACCAGAGACTGCGGACACAGTACAGGGAAGGACCAGAGACTGCGGACACAGTACAGGGAATGACCAGAGACTGTGGACATAGTACAGCAGATGACCAGAGACTGCGGACATAGTACAGGAGATGACCAGAGACTGTGGACATAGTACAGAAGACCAGAAACTGCAGACAGTAAAGGAGATTACCAGAGACTGCGGACCTTTGGGGAGGGAGGGGGAACGGGTACCTGAATTTGACAGGTACCCGCTCCCACTTCCGCGGAGTTGTCCTTCCTTCTTTTCCCGCGGCGGCTTCTGTGACAGTCGGGTGCCCACTGCGCATGCACATGAATGGGAATGTAACATAGATGAACTTTTATGAACTTTTATTGTATATGTTGTATGAATTAGAAAATATCCAGAGAAAGTAAAAAATATATTTTGCATGACATAGTGAATAGTGACAACCAGAAACATGGAATACCATGTGGCGAGCTGACAGTGGCTGTGACCAAGCTCCCTATGGGTGGGGAGAAATGCATCAGAGGGGCGTGGACTGATAGACAGCTGAAGCCATTGGCATTACAGCATTCTAATAGAACTCCTTGGGATGGGTCTGATCAGCGCCCATCCTCCTTCCTCACACACAGCCTGGTTCATGGAATAATCATGGCCCTATGTGAAAGACCAAATGCCGGTATGTATATAAAATGCCTGTAGGCAGATGTAAAAAAACACCTTAAACTGAGTGAAACAAGTGATCTAGTAGCAAACCCTTAGGCATTTGGATTAAATAATGCAATGAAAAGATGAAGCTCAGCTCAATGCATTACATTATGAGTCACAGGGCCTTTTCAGGAATCACGTGACTCATGACGTAACGTGTAGGACGGAAGCTTGTGATGTCCTTTCTGCTGCGGGTGGGAGCCGCCATCTGTGTTCACCCTTTTTTTTTACCTTAAATGCTTATAATGGGTTCTGTGAACCTTGTATCTATGTGAGTGGCCTTTTTTAGACAATGTTATTTTATTAAAGCCTTACTACACTATGAGGAGTTCCATGTTCCTTTACTTTTGAGCACCTATCCATCAGAGTGGGGACATAAATGGTTGTTCCTGAGTGTGCCTGGAGAGATCTGTGGAAGCAGAGCATCCACTGGGATTAATATTGAGTTCATGTTGACCTATATTTTCTATGGGTCAGCTGTTAAGGTGAGTGTGTATGCCTGAAGGTGGAGGAGCACGATTGATTTGCATACCTGTTGAAGTCACTGGTGCATTACTTTAATGGTGGAAGAAAGAGACTGTTTTATCACTTTTGGACTGCATTTTACATTTTACACTTTATTAGTGCTATCTATCATTCACCATTCATTTGTTTTTTTGTATATATTTAGTATAGCTGCTTATCTTTTCCATTACGCACTTATTGTGACTATCTAGCCCAGTTGCGCATTCACTTGATTCAACACTGGTTTATTCCATTAAGGAGCTGGTTGCTCAGCTGGGCATTTATTTTGCAATTATTTATTACTGTTTTTGTTGGTTTTCACACTTTATGCTTCAGCTCAACCAAGTGTTTATTATAACTCGGTCAGGTGTTAACTGCTACTGTGATTGTGTTTTATTTCTGATATACGTTTCACATATTTATCAATGTTCTTGTTGGTTTTTAAGAATATATTCTTCTTCAGCTGGGTGTTTATTATAGCTCACCCAGGTGTTTATTGCTACTGTGATTGTATTTTATTTGTGATATACGCTTCACATATCATTTGGATTTATTGGCTCAGCCAATTTTCCTTTTAAATGTTGAGTTTATTTGTTTCACAGATCTATTTATTTACACATTGAGTTTGATGCTCAGGAGGGTATTTATTTATTATTAGTTTGTTTTTTGGGTCATTATAGGGCAGCGTAGCACTATTCATGGGGAATTTTATTGGTGTGGGAACACATTTAGGTGCTTGCACTAGCTTATTATTCATTTGTTGCAGCACATGAGTAATCAATTCTTAATTAAGAGCACTAAGTGCCATTTCTGCCTGTAGAAATAGGAAAAGATAGCCCAGCCCACCACACACCTTGCCCAGCTCAAGTGGTTAGCAGGTAAAAACAGCCTCAGCTTGATTAATCCAAGCCATTCCCGCATGCCAGTTCTGTCTGCTGCCTCAATCCTCTGTTATCTATATGAATCACTTCTCTTGACACCAAGAGAAAATGGTGACAGGACAGGGACCTTCAGCAGATTGACAGTCTCAGCTCTGTTCCTGTGAGCTGTGTGGAGGGGGGGTGTATCTCTTCCCTTCAATCAGCTCTCAGAGCTCTCCTCACTGAGCTCACAATGTGTAATTTCAGCTTTCCGCCACCTTTTTTCTGAACTCTCAAACAAACTTTATACATTCAGCACTTTGAAGGGATATAGAAAACAGAAGTCTGCAGACAGCAGATAAAGAGTTACAAGTTATGTAGGAGGATTTGTTTCATCTCTGTGTGTCACCTGAGGCCAGTCACTTCACTGGGTATGTGTAAGGGTTTACAACCACTTTAAAGCCAGCCAGCCATCACAGCCTTTCTGCCATAAATACAAGGCATAACAACCCTATGGATATTCACTAAAGAGTATCCACTAAAAATTAGCTTTTTAATAAAAGCGACACTAAAATCTGGTTAAGAAAAGAGCTTTCTAAGTATGAATGCTTAAATAAAAGAACACCAATTTATCCCAGTCTCCACCAATCTCCAAATTTCTTTTTATTTTTTTATTCTATGATCTGACCATCTGTTAGAGGGTGGCTGCGTTCATTCTACATGGTCCCACTGTATGTAGGAACACAGCCACCCTCTCTTGCTTGCATTTAAGATGGACTAGATGCTATGGACAATGGAGTGTGTGTAGGCAGGTACCTACATTGTTAAAAATGTGTTTGCAATTAAAGGGCTAATGGCTGGTACTGTGAGGGTTAATGTTCCGTGCTGTGATGTGTTTTCCCCTGCACTTTCTGTGTTAACTGCAGAAAACGGTATCACAGCACAGCAGAGCCAAAGCCGGTCTAGCAATATTAACAGTAGAGAGTGGAGATGCCCTATTGATTTTATGTTTCAACCATTGTACTTCTGAAGCCAGTACAGAAATGTAAATCTAATAGCTTTATTCAGTAAAGAAATTGTTGCTGGTTAAGTGGAGTTGTCTAGTCTGAGTTAATTGAGAAGAATGTGTGTTCACAGTGTACTGAAGAACTGGGGAATGAAGAGTACCATCACAAGTTAACCCTTGGAATTAAGAAGTAAAGAGCATACTGCAGTTAACCCTCCAAGATATGAAATTAGGAGAGTCAAAAAAGAGGAGCTGCCACCTTGGTATTTGGAATGGTTGTGGCCAGTGATTGAAATTCCATAGGTAGGGGTAGCTGGGCACTTGATGCATCCTACTGGGCAGCTCTGTCCCAAACTTAGGGCCCACTGCATATTGAAACCCTCCTAGGAACTTGGCCAGGAACCAAGCATGTGCAAAGAATTGAAAATTAGGTGCGGTGGATCCACTCTTTGCCCTTAAGGCTGAATATGAGTAAAGTGTTGTGAAGAGTTGGTGGAGGTCAATCACCGCCCTGTGCTATTCCCTAAAAATTAGTCTGTAGTTAGTGCTGGAACAGGTGTCACTGGCATGTGATGAGATGTGATCCTTCTGTGTGTGGGTCCTGGTGAAGTAATTTCAGCCATGAGGCGGTGCTAGCCCACATGTGAAACCTTACAAATATTCTCCCATGCTGCCTACATGTGTAGTGTGCACAGAACAGTACACATGACTTCAACTAATATGTCACCTCCTCATTGCCTGTATCAATCCTATAAATGCTACACCACTGCACCGCAGCCATAAAATCACTTGGACACAATTCAAAGAACGTGCAAGGGATAATTTACAAAATGAAGGGGCATCTTAACAGTAGGCAGTAAAAAACATGGCTCAGCTGCCTGTATTAAGCACACCCATTCCCATCTTGATTGGAAATGAGAATGAGCCCTTGAAACAATTACATGAAAAACAGACATAGATGTGCATTGATTATTTTTGGATAATAAAGATATCACTTAGTGTCAGTATCATATACCACGAAAACCAAGTATTTCAGGGGCAAAGTACAACTGCAAAAAAATGATGGCATCCCCACATACCTTCATGCTCCAGCAATTTGGTAGAAAATGATATCAATCGGAGTGTAGTTAATGTCAGTAATTCATATACAGCATTCAGTGTAATTTCACTTAAAGCATCATGTTTTAAATGCCCATATGAAACTTTCCATGCATATTTTCAGAGCGCCAGCTAACACAACTAAAACAAAGGTGGTAGCATTTAACATTGCCAAGGTGAGTCAGAATATAATTCCCAGTACTCTTCATAAGAGTGTCGTTTGTTGTTTGCATAATTACATCCTTATGGATTACACTTAAATGCAGCAGTAACGGTGACACTGACTTTTACGTTTTCACTCTACTCCCTGTAACTAACAAGAACAGCTCTCTCCTGAATCATCTGAAACTGCTCAATAACTAAACAGTGAATGCAATTTTCAGAGGTCACTATTTGTTCAGATTTCTATAAAACAGAAAAGTTCTGCTGTGACTTTCAAACTTAAATAGCTATGCAGCATGTATAATATGCCAAGGCCACTTTATTCCACATCTGCCAACTGAGGAAGATTAGCTTTCCATCATTTAAATGGTCAATGATACTGTTATTCAGTTTGTACATATAAAATTGAAAACTACGTATATATTTAAATGCATTAGAGTTCTAAAAATTCTAAGGATATATATATATATATATATATATATCAGTGAAGCAGAATTTCTAGAACACAGTGCAGGGAATTTATCAAAACTGGAACAGCTGTGCATATTAACCAATCAGCTTCTATCTTCAACTTGCTCAGTTAAGCTTTGGAAATGAAGGACAGAAGCAGATAGATTGCCATGCACAGCTTTCCCCAGATTCTGGCTGTTTCAGTTTTGATCAATTCCCCTCTAATAGTTTTCTT